AATAATTAAAAATTAAAAAAAAAAAAAACAATCCCTCTAACTGTTATTATCTATAATTATTATTATTATTATTATTATTATTATTATTAAATATTAATTATTATAATCTATAAATATTATTTATTATTATTAAATGTTAATGATAATTATTTTTTATTAAACATTAAATATTAATTATTATTTTTAAGCGGAGCAGAGGACGGAGCAGAGCAGACAGAACAGCTTAAAAGAACAGGGCCTAACCCCTATAATACTAACGAAATAGCCCCATAATGTGTGGTCAACCACATATAAGAATTTTGAATATATAATGGACACGGAACATTAATAAATTTATTTAATTTGTTACAAGGTAATACAATTTTAGGAGAGCAAGACGTAGAATGATACTCCATCAGTCCCTTACTTTTTGTACCATTTTACTAAAAAAACTCTCATAAAATGTAGATCTATGGTGCAAACAAAAAGGGATAAGGGAAGTATTGATCATAACTTAATCAATCCTGACAATTCAAACTGTTTGTGATTAATTCTAACTACTGAATTAGATGAGGTAATCCAATCTTCACTCTATCATTTTCCTAAAACTTTGCTCATTGCCTGATGTTTAATTGTTTGTGATTAATTCAAACTAAGTGGTGTAATTGGTTGATTGTATTACCTCCGTTTTATAAGAATCGCAACAGTTTGACTTTTGCACTATTTTTATACTTACTAACATATATGTTGTCATGTAAAATACTACAGAGAGCTTACTAACATATTTTTCATTATATATACTTCTTACTAATATATAATTACAATTAATATAGATATTCTCATAAAACCTTTGCTATTTTCCCTCTATTTTTTCTCTCTAGGATTCTTAAAAAAAAGTGTTTCATAGGCCGAAAATAGTCAAATTTCTCCGGAAATTTGGCTATATCATACCCTTTTCCTTTAGTTTATTTATGTTTTGTTATTAAATTCAATAAATCTACACTCTTTGTAGATAGTAAGTACCCCTATTGTGGATTAGACCCTTTTCCTTTAGTTTATTTATGTTTTAGTTTTGTTTTTGTTTTTTGAGTTTAATATGGTAGAAGTTGTTTCATGGGTAAAGATTTGTGCGAGATCCAGAAAGAGATTAATCCTTTGATTACAATCAAATGAATCAGACGAAAATTTTCTTCACGACTACAACAGATCGGTAGATCCCCCTCGTCAAAAAAAGTTGTAAATCACAGCAATATAAAAGAGGGTATGAAAAAAGTACCATTTGCAAAAACGGTCGTAGCTCTACTGAAAGGATGTTTTTATACATACATACACACACACACACACACACACACACACACACACACACATATATAGGGTCTGGATCAGGTGAGAACCACCCTTTATGTGAGAACCTATATGAGGACAAATCTCAGCCATTGAATTGTAATGAATCCAACAGCTGAGATTAATGATATAAATATTCTCTAACAAACCTTCTCTAACAACCATGCTTAACTGTTTTTAAGCTTCTGCTTTGCTCTATCTCCACCATGAAACTCCAATCTCTGCTATGCTCCCTCTCCACCACGAAGCTTCAAGAATTTATCAATGGCGTATTTTTAAACTCGACAATTTCTCTCTCCTCTTCTTGTTCACGAGTATTAATTTTCCATAAATTATTGAGGTTTGTAATTCTTTTAGTTTTGTAAATTTTGTAAATTCAATTATCTTAGTTTAATCTTAGCATCAAAATTTACAAAAAGTTTTTCAATTGCATGTTAATCTTAGTGTTTGAGAATATCAAATTGTTCGTGTTTGAGAATTTCAAATTGTTCGTTAATTTTTTTGATAATTTTCGTTAAAAAATTCGATTATATTCGTTAAAATTCAATGAGAAATTTACGATTTGAGTATTTAAGAACTAATAAATTGTCTGTTAATGTTATTATGTCCAGTTGAATGAGCTCAATTTTCGAATTGAGTATTTCAATTGAAGGTATGCAAATTGAACAAATGTAATTAAAATGAGCAAGAAGAATTAAAATGAGCAAATACAAAAAAAATTAGCAAAATAAGTTGTGTTGTTGTGATACAATTGTCTTGTGTTCGAATCATGTTTTGATAATTTTCGAATTTGCTTTTGAATTTTTGTTGAAATTATCGAATTTTATAATCTGATTATTTTCGAATATACTTATGATTTATTATCGAAATCCATGTTCTAATAATATTCGAATTTGTTTTTGAAATTTGTTACTCAATAAATTTTCAATTAAATGCTCTTATTATGTTCTTATTTTTTTCCAATTGAATGTTCTTAATCATTTGAACTTAAAAAAATTATATAATGAGCAATAAATTTGAAAATGAGCAAACCTAAATATGTCCCAGAAAAATTACACGAGCAAACATAATTAAAATGAGCAAATATTAAAAAAAAAATTGAGCAAATAACAGTGCAGTCTGAAGCAACTGACCCGAGGTCTTGAAAATGTTTCTTTTATGGTTGTATGTGTTACTATATTATTTTTGGTTATTGACGTTAGGATTAGTCAAATGTTTAGGATGTTGATACATCAGGCTAAATTGAATTCTATATATGCTGGGTTTTGCGAATCATAGTGAAGAGTAGCATTATCAAGTTTTACTCCTTTTCAAGTCATCTAGTTTCTGCTATCAAAGCATTGAGTTCCTTGTTCATTGGTTTTCTTGCCTGCACACAAGCCCCACCCCCCTTCTTCTGGGTCTGTTTCCTGCACACCAACCACACTCCCTTCTTACACTTCCTTATACGAACCTATCCCCCCTGCCCCCTCATCTTTCTGTTTGCACTTCTGATTTCTGAAATTAATTTGTGTGTGTGTGTGTGTGTGTGTGTGTGTGTGTGTGAGTAAGTGTAAGTGTTATGCTGTAAGTAGTAATTAGTATGGTTAAAAACATGATTCAGCAACATAATGTTCTGATATGAGATTTTTAATGAGCTTCCTGAAACTATTTTATGGAATTGTTACTGACCTGTTATCTCTATTATATTTAATGTTAGAAATGATGAGCAACAACGAAGAACTTAACAGTCATTCTAATACCATCACAAATGTGCCAACTACTCCTACAATAGTAGTTTCTCCTAAAGTAGCACCTTTTCTCACTCCTGGAGGAACAAAAGAATGGCTTCCAATATGCCCCAATGAGTTGAAACCAGCTATAGGGATGAAGTTTAATAATCTTGAAGAGGGCCTTGAATTTTATAAAAGTTATGCATTTGCTGCTGGATTCAACACAAGAAAGCCTACAACTAAAAGACAAAAAAGAAGCAAAGAATTGAAATCACAGTATATCTTATGCAATAAGGAAGGATACAAAGAGAAAAGAAAGGCTACTGTTGAAAAAGATTTAAATAACAACGAAGGTGAAAGCAATGAAGAAAAAACTTCAATCAAAAGGAAGAGACACGTTACTCGTGTTGGGTGCAAGGCACATATTGTCATAAAGCATTGTGATGATAGCAAATTCATAGTGTCACAATTTCATGAGGGACATACTCATGCACTTTATACACCTAGTTGCAATCTCTTCCAAAAAGAAGGAAGGAAAATGAACATATTGCACAAAAAATAATTGTGAATAATTCTAAGGTAACACTTTCAAAGTCTCTTATGTTTCATGAATTCTCTATATGATTTGATAAAAGTAGTATGCTCATTTGAAAAATAAGCATTGAATTGTTTGTTCATTTGAAAATGAGCATTAAAATGTTTGCTCATTTGAAAAATGAGCATTGAATTATTTCAAATGAGCAAGCAAATAATTAGATAAGCATTGAATTGTTTGCTCATTTTAAAAATGAGCGTTGAATTATTTGCTCATTTGACAAACTATTTTATTCTTTAAATAGGTGAATATTGGTCCTGTTACAACTTTTCGAATGATGAAGGAAATTGTTGGAGGATATAATAACATTGGTGCATCTAAGCAAAATTTCAAAAATTTTCATAGAGATTTAAAAGCATACATTCAAGAAAGTGATGCTTTTTTCTTTGATTTTGAGATGGATGAAGATTATTGCCTTTTTAGAGTATTGTGGGCAAACCCCCTTTGTAAAAAGAGTTATGCTCTATTTGGTGAAATGGTATCCTTTGATATCACATACCAAACCAATAGGTAATTCATAAAAATCACAATTCATTTTTATGTTATAAATATGGCTTAACTTAATGACTTTCTTTTAATTGAGCTTAGTATAATTGTTTGCTTATTTCACAAATGAGCATTGACTTATTTGCTCATTTTACAAATGAGCATTCAATTGTTTGCTCATTTGACAAAAGAGCAAATAATTGTTTGCTTATTTCACAAATGAGCATTGAGTTATATGCTCATTTGACAAATGAGCAATCAATTATTTGCTCATTTTTCAAATGAGCATTGAATTATTTCGGTAGCTCATTTGTCAAATGGCAATTCTGATTTTAGAAACTGATTTAAAAATCTGATTTCTGAATCTAATTTCAGTTTCTATTACAGATTGTGAGTGCGTGTATGTATGTGTATGTGTGTGTGTGTGTGTGTCTGTGTCTAAGTACGTGTGTCTGTGTATTTATGTGTGTGTAGTTATATGCTCATTTAAAATTTAATCTATATGTGTAAACTTGTACAACATGGTGTTTACTCCATTTACAGGGGTTGATATAAGAGATGTATTACTTTTGCTGCTGGTTTCATAGCAAAGGAAGATATAGTGTCATTTGAGTGGTTGTTCAGATCGTTTCTCAAGGCAATGGGTGAGAATGAACCGAATTGTATGATTACGGATCAAGATCCAGCAATGAAAATTCTTGTTACAAATGTGTTTTAAGAAGACTGAACATCGCTTCTGTATGTGGCATATAATGAAAAAGTTACCAGATAAGGTGGAGAAATCAATCATGCAAGAAAAAACTGGTTTCCTTAAATAATTATGTGCTTGCGTTTGGCATCTTGAAATTGGACCTACTAAGTTTGAAGAAAGGTGGAACAAGGTGATGGTTGAATACCACTTGGAAGAACATGAGTGGTTAGGTTATATGTACAAGATAAGGAACAAGTGGATTCCGGCGTATTTCAGAGATGTGTTTCTTAGAGGAATAATGGATACAACATCAAGATCCGAAAGTGAAAACAACTTTTTCTGCTCCTTTATCAACCCTCATGTGTCACTTGTTGTGTTTTACTTGAGATATGAAGCTGCAATTGATGCCCAGAGACACACTCAAGGTCAGAATGATAATGATTCAAAGCACAAATATCCCGAGTGCAAAACACCACTAGGGATAGAAAAACATGCCTCACATTTATATACTAACTCTATCTTTTATGAATTTCAATATGAGGTTGAAATTGCTTGCTTTTCATGTGGTGTTGATGAATTGAAGAAAGAAAATGGATTGGAAGTTGCAAAAGTAAGTGAAGGAAATCGGATTAGAACATTTGATGTTGTGTTTAATCCAACTAACTATGACACCACATGTTCTTGCAAGCTATTTTATAGACAAGGAATTCCATGTAGACATATGATTTGGGTTTGGAAAGCAAAAAGGTTTGAAACCATTCCTGAGCAGTATATGCTACACAGTTGGACTACTATGGCATTGAAAAAACCAATTTTTGACTTGGGTGGAAACCTGTTGGAGCAATGTGCTAATTTAATTGACAAGAAAAAATTGTTAAATGATTTATGGTCAGAGATACACACTTGTGTAAGTTTGGCAGAAGGCAAAGATGAAGATATTCAAGATCTTGTGATAAATCTTCAAGGAATAAGAAAGGATTTGGAGGCTAAGAGGATTGCAAGAAATAATGAAACAACAGCTGGAAGTGCAAACAACAAAGGAAAAGACATTGAGCTATTGATTGGAGCTAGTGTACCAACTGAAATAATTGTCAAACCTTCAAAAATTTCAAAGAATAAAGGGACTGGAGTTCATGTATCAAATGAAGAGACTTCAAAAAAGAAAGGGGATGAGATTGATGTGCCAAATATTGAAACAAAAGGTAGAAGTGCAAAAAGGCTGAAGGGAGAAAAAGAAAAGGTTGTAGAACAAAATCAGAAAAAGAAGAGATTATGTAAAGGTTGTGGTGAACTGAGTCATCATGATATTAGAAATTGTCCAGAAAAAGTGTAATGATAACTTTATATATATATAAGATTTAATATTTTTAGCACATCTCCTCATTATTTATCACAATATCTATAAATTTTGTGTTTTAAGTTTTGTTAATATTTTGTTGATTTTATATTTCTTAACAGAATCAATTACTTACTCATTTGGAAAATGAGCAATCAATTTTTCTAGAAAATAAGAACAAAAACAGGCAGACCAAAAACAAGCAAAACAAATATAGTCAGAACAAAGTGTTGAATTTTTGCTCATTTAGAAAATGAGCAAATAGTTATTTGCTCAATTGTCAAATGAGAAAATATTTAGTTGCTAATTTAACAAATGAGAAAAAACTTAGTTGCTCATTTATCAATTGAGCAAATAGTTAGGTGCTTATTTGTCAAATGAACAAAATTTTGTTTAATCATTCATTAAATAAACAAGCATCTCTTTGCTTATTTGACAAATGAGCAAAAAACAATTTGTCACATTTGTCCCATTAAGAAAATCATAAAAACATTTGATCAACTAAGAACATTTGTCACATAAATCCCATAAAAAACATCATAAAACTAACACTTCTACTGTTCTATACAAATCCTAAGAACATCATAACAATTGATCAACTTCAGTCTTCAATTCTCTCCGCTGAATGCTCTTGGATTGCTGCCCCTAGCTTTCTTCAATATCACTTGCTTCATCAACATTTTTTTTCTTTTGGACAATTTGTTTAACAGGTTTAACAGTATTTACTTCACTTGAAATTATTGAGAAGCAATACTTCAAACGAAGTTTTTCAATGATTATGACCTGCAAAGAGAAAAAATGAAGCAATAATTCAGGGTAAGTAATGGCTTCATGCATGCATATCAACAAGTTGCTCACAAATTTTAACCTAAATTGCAATTAAGATAAAAAATGGATAAAGTGCAGTGGAGACTTACATTATTTTTTTTTAAACTTGAATTCCACTTTTGCAAACCCATATATGTTTTCATATGCCTCATCATTGCAACACCACAATGCAAATGAGCATCATCTGAAGACTTCCATGGTTAATCAATCACTACAAACTCCATAGACTTGATCTGCTTTGACAAAACAACACTTTGTATAGTTCCTTCACCATCCATGAAATATGAAAATGCACTTTTCTGAAAATAAGAACAAATATAGTAAGAACAAATATAAGTAGAACAAGATCAACTTAAACAACTAAACTCTAATCATTTTTCTAAAATAATCTAACAAAATCTTGAGCCATACCATATTTTTAAGAAAGTCTTGTTTTCTCTAGGACCTTCACTATAATTAATAATCTCTATTGTACCACGCTCTGTGGTGGTGTTAAAACATACCAAAAAATAATGATATTTTTCATGAGCTGGGAAAAAGAAAAGCTCAATATCTTTCTTTGGGATGATTGTTTTGCTAAATTCCTTCTTCACAATATCACAAAACATTTTATTCCTTTCTTGAGCACGATCACTTTCGTATTGAAAAAGGCATTCCTAAAAAAGTACATAAAGAAAAATACATAAATAAGATTAATATAAATGAAAAGAGTAAATAAGAAATGAGCAAACTGAACATGAAATGAGAAAAGTCATATAAAATGAGTAAATTGAATTTTTTTTTTGACAAATGAGCACTAAAGGTTTTGCTCATTTGACAAATGAGCACTGAAAGTTTTGCTCATTTGACAAATGAGCAAGAATAATTAGACAAATGAGCATTGAATAGTTTCTCAAATGAGAATTGAATAGTTTCCCTTGGTTATGAGATTCACCTACAGGCCAGAGGCCGCCCCAGTTGATCTTCTTGATCAATTTACAAAACAAATCAAACAGGCAAAATTGTAAATAACGTGAACAGTAACGTGAACAGTAGCCACATGCTATTACCATTTTGCCCCAGGTTTAATGATGAAAAAAACACTTTTACCCTTACCAAACATATGCTATTACCATTTTGACCCAGGTTTAATGATGGAAAAGACACTTTTACCCGAGGTTTAATGAAGGAAAAGACATTTTTACCCTGTTGATTGACAAAATAAATTGATCAACAAGATCAACTTGTTTTTTGCGCTACAGGCCTCTTTTATCATATGTTTCTGATATTAATGAAAGAAATTGTTGAAGCAACACAAGTAATACTCTTTATCAATTGTTTTGAAGCAACACAAGTAATACTCTTTATTAATTGTTATAGCAATTGTGCTCTTGTCATTTATGTATGAATTTCTAAATGTCTACAGGTTGGTGATGTGGTGCTTGTACAGGAGGATAACTTTATACAGAATGAATTTAGAATAGTTGGACTGGAAACCTTGGTATTTTTTGTGATTACTCTTCTAACTACATTTGAAGTGTTAATCAGCTGGTATTATGGTAAAAAAAAGGGTGAATGCGGGCATGCAGCTGACAAACAATGATGCGAGCATGGTCAAAGACATGCACTGTAATGTATGGAAGTGCGGTGATATAGAAAATCTGCTTATAAATACATGAATTCCCACATTGAGTTGATGTTGTGGTGGATAGAAAATAGCTAAAACTAATTTACAGATAACTTTGGGAAATTTGTTCAGGGGAGTAGGGATGGGGCAGGGGGCTCTAGGCCTTCTGGGGCTATGTAAATTGTCTTCTCAGTTAATCCTTCTCCTTTATTCTTTTCTTTTCTCTTTTTTATTTTTTTGGGAGGGGGGGGTAAGTTAGTGTCCAGGAGTGTCCCTGGAAAAATAATTAGACAAATGAGTACCGAAAGTTTTGCTCATTTGACAAATGAGAAAGAATAATTAGACAAATGAGCATTGAATAGTTTCTCAAATGAGCATTGAATAGTTTCTCAAATGAGGATTATTTCAAATAATTTGACAAATGAGCAAGAATAATTACACAAGAAAGGATTATTTGACAAATGAGCACTGAAGGTTTTGCTCATTTGACAAATGAGCAAGAATAATTAGACAAATGAGCATTGAATAGTTTGCTCATTTGACAAGAGCAAAGAACAAATATTAGTTTTTGCAAATACGAAACAACATCTACATTCAAATATAAAAAATTATATGAAATCAGCAAAGTGAACATGAACAAAATAAACAAAATAAAATGAACGAGTTGAACTTACACTTGCAGTAAGACTGAAAAAGAAACGTCCCCTAGAATTGTTGCTCATTATAATTCAGAACAGTAGACCATGCATTAATGATATCGCCATGAATTTTTTCCTGATTTTTTAGCAATTCAAGTTGAAATAGCATTACTTCACTTTTAGACTCACCCTCGCATAAAAACGCTAGATCACTACATATAAAATTTAGGGAAGTTAAAATAATTTCAATCAAAGATATGTAAAGTAAGAATATAAAGCTAGACTTGTTTTAAGAAAGAAAAATAAGGTTAATTGCCAATTTCCAGAACTGAAAACTGAATAAATACTTAAAAACGATTTTTTTTTTCTAATGAAAAAATGAATCCATGACACCTTTCTGAATTGCTGTAAATGGTGTTAAATGTTGATAATCCGAGACTTAAAAGGAGATCTTATCTGCAACGATGGTTGCACTTTACGCTTCTTCTTTGGAATACAACTCTCATTTTCAGCATCTCCTTTTCTCTTAAGCTCAATTGGATCTTCTTGAGCATTCATAGCATCAACAACAACATCAACATCTGATTTAGAAGGACAAACTTGTGCACTGACAGGAGCAAGTACATGTTCCTCAGTAGGTGCAATGCTAGGGGACTTCTCCTGAGAATTAGTTTCTTGAGAAGAGATTCCTAAGCTGAATGAAGGAGTTCCACATCCTTTGGCAACTGAACTTCTTAAACTATATCTGATACTTGACTCTCCAAGTCTTTTAAACACATGTTCAGCAACCCTAGGCTCTATGATAACGGATGGAGCTTCTACATCAGATATACCACTTGTTATTGAACAAATTCAGCAGCAATCTTAGTAACATCGATTGGTTCTGATTCAATCAGATGATTAACCCTAGCATTTATTGTAGATTTAACATGCTGCTCATTGCCTGAAATCCCTAAAAACCTATCCCAAGCTTTAATTACAGCTAGATCTTGCCAATACTGTTCATCTTGGCTAAATGAGAGAGGAATATCTTCAATCAAAGCTTTAGAGCTCATCTTCTGCTCATTACAAATGGTCATTGCATCTTCCTTCGGCTTTTGAATCTTCTCATTGTTTGGAAAATACTTGACGGCAGCTTCATGTTTTTGATTGAAATCCATGTATGCCAAGACTAGATTTGTAGATTATGTTGCAAGCTCCATAAGGCATTTCTTTAAAAAAATAAAAAATTAAAAAAAAAAATACATAATAAGATGAATATAAATGAAGAGAGTAAATATGAAATGAGCAAAGTGAATATGAAATGAGCAAAGTGGATGTGAAATGAGCAAAGTCATATAAATATAAGCAAATTAATATAAGTTTCCAGAAAAGTCATATAAATACCTTCTTTGGATCTTGATCAATTTCTTCATTTTTTGTATGAATTGGATCTGATTGTTCCTAAAATCAAGCAAAAAGAAAAAAAAAAGAAAAAAAAAAGAAAGTTAGAACAAGTTGAAAGCAAATATCCTAATTATTTGTTCATTTTACAAATAAGCAAAGTGGATATGAAATAAGCAAAGTCATATAAAATTGAGTAAATTGAACTTTATTTGACAAATGAGCAAAAAAAAAAATTTAAGAAGAGTATCAAGTCTACCAACTATTTAATACTAAGAAACTGAAAGGTTGTCGAACAAGTTAAGAAGAAAAACATAAAATTCATCCAAATCACACACAATAAAATCAAGAAACACAAAATTCATCCAAATCACACATAGTAAAATTCAGCCAAATCACACACAGTATCAAATGAGCAAAAAATAATTGCTCATTTGACAAATGATCAAATATTTTTTTTGCTGATTTAGGAGGTCCATTAATGTGCTATATTTGTTCCAATCCAATTCTATAAGCACTGCCAAAGACATAGAAAAGCTAAGTATTGGTTATAAGTGAAATACCATTTTTGGTTGTTTGGTGCCAGAAGGACCAACAAGCTTCAGATTTTTATCAACAAGTCCAAGCCTCCCCTTAAAATTTTCCAATTTCTCACGACTAGACAACATATTGGTTGTCCAACCTTTGAGAACTGGAGTTTCTCGTTTGGCTCTAACTTCCTCAATGACAAACTGATCAACATATAAAAGCTACAAACAAGTAAGATAGAAAAAAATTAGTATATTAAAATTAAACAAATAACAATTAATACATACAATAACTACAAACAAGTAAGAAAAAATAATTAGTAAATTAAAAATCAACAAATAAGTAAGAAATACTACATTAAAAAAAATAAAATTATAGTAATACCATAAGAAACGATAAAGACCCAGGAAAAGAACAAGTTGGACGTTCTTCCCAGAAAAGCTTGGCCTTCACAAGTGAATCAAGGATATACTTGCACCAATTGAAGTCCTTGATTTTATTAATATGGGAAAGAAATGTGAGAATATCATAATTGATATTCACATTTTGTTTCCCTGACAAAAAAATGAGCAAAACAAAAGAAAAATGAGCAAAAGGAAATTTAAATGAACAAAATATAATAGAAATAAGCAAAAAAAATTGAAAATGAGCAAACTGCTATAAAATTTAAAACCATGATGTTGACTCTAGATTGGATTAGTTTATTGTTGTTGGAAGTAATTGATTATTGTTTTTGCAGTAACTAATTCTATACATATTTGACCAACAACTTAGGAAATATAATTGCTATATATAGGACATAACTGCTAAGTGCTTACTATAACTAAAAATAAGCAAAATAAAAATAAGAAGTTTACCATCCATCAATGTAGACACGCATAGCACTACAAAGTTCCTTTTGAACATAGGACCAGCTAAGTTATGCTCTTTTAGAAACTCTTTCAACTCCCCTATTTTGACAGAGAGTGAATTGCTTTTGAATTGCTTCTTCCATTGTTGAATAACTCTCTTATCTCTGGAAAAATTGTTTTTGTCAATTTCTATGCCACCCATTGGCAGCCCAAGTACTTGATGCACATGCTCTTCATTAATACAAAAAGGTTCAGAATAATGTTTAAACAACATGTGTTAGCATCAAAGTGATGAACCAACCATAAACCTAACTGCAAAGGCAGTTGGGTCACCTTAAAGAACTCCATAGACCCGAATCCTATTGCTCTAATAGCTTTCAACTGATTTTATGAACAATTTTCAATAACTTGACCAATCTATGAAGGGGACATCCGACTATGTAATGTCCCATAAACATGAGACTTCAAATCTTCCCCTTCGTTGTTGGATTTCGTCTCCTCCAACTTAATCTTCTGTTTTTCTTTCAATCCCTTTTCAACCTTTTCCCCTTTACCCTTAGTAGCAACTAATTTGATTCTCTTCTTCTTCTTTTCACTGAGCTTCTCTTCTGCCACTACAGCCTCCGATTAACCAACATCAGCAGCACGCCCTGTTGAATCAACATCAGCAGCAGCACCTAATGAACCAACATCGGCAGCAACCTCCTTTTCGATAAAGTTCCTGCTCATACAAAACAATAAAAAAAAAGTAAATAATTAGTTGCTAATTTTATAAAAATGAGCAAAAACATAGATGCTCATTTGTCAATGAGCAAATAGTTAGTTGCTCGTTTGTGAAATGACCAAACATTAGTTTGCTCATTTGTCAAATAAGCAATCATTTTTTTGCTCATTTACCAAATGAGCAAATAGTTGATTGCTCATTTATCAAATGAGCAAACATTTATGTAATAATTCATTAAATCAACAAGCATTTAATAAGAAAACATAAAATGAGGAAATAAGAAAACACGTACATTTTCCTTTCCAATTGTACATCCGTATAATCTTTAGCATTGTTATGATCAGTAGCAACTGAAGAATAGCACTGTTACAAAAAACCCGAAAAAAAATGTAAGATAACTAAAACAAAGGATAAATCAAATTAAGAAGCAAATTTTTAAGAGAAATAAAGAGGGGGAAGGGGGGTTCACCAAATTTCTAACAAGAAGAAAAGGATCCTAAATGCGAGAAAATAGTGTCCTACCAACAAAAAAAAAACTAACAAGATTAAATAGTCCATATAAAATATCAGAAGGTTCAATTCACAGCCCACATAACTTATTTGGTCTGCACGCAAGCAAAACAAAAGCCAAGTATAACATTAACTTAATCTACAATGTTGCATCAGGTAACATGTCCATCAGCATAATCCTACAAAGCCACCTACGCTTATGGAAAAACACAAACACCTACACATGTTAATGAGGAGGTTTTCCCATCTGAGGTGTTTAAAGCTAATCAGATTTATGTTGCATTAGTATTACTTTCAGATAATGTCTTATTACACTATGAACATGGAAATTGCAAGGCTAGATGAAGAAGCACCAAGGATTCACATAATCAACACAATTTCAAGAATAATACATATTCCAAATCCATTAAATTACTCTATTGAATTGATGTAGTTTACAAAGAAGCTCGAGCTTTGTGAGAACAGGTTACTAGCATAAGACTGATGACTAGTGACTCAAACACACAGTTCATAGTTCTAACTAACCAAGAAGATGACATTTAGGTC